GATACTAGGAAAGGAAGCAAGAATCAACATATTGTGAAGAATGCAATATCGTGTTGACTCCTTTCCCAATTATAGATACTAGGAAAGGAAGCAAGGATCCTGTTCTTGTGGAGAATGCAATTTATCATATGTTGAAGAATACTTGACGCAACCTCTAATCACTGTTGGTCTGCCTGAAGTGGCGACGGGTGTTGTTGGATTATTTTGCTACCCCACCACCTCCACCACGCGCTGTGCAACGACCAAGAAAGACGACCAACTTGGTACGCTGAAAGGAGGTGTCTTTCGTGTCACGACTGCTGTATGTAGCTGTAAAGAGGACGAGGTGGTGGAATTTTTGCGAGATGGACGAATGATATCGACCTTGTACACGATAAAGAGGAGGTGGTGGAAAAATGAAACGAGGGGGCACGGCGTGACAGATTAGCGCGTGCAGGAGACAAGAGTGCGTAAAAATGCGATATCCCTGCACGGATTTCAATGCGATCACGTCGAAATCTCAAGAAACTGGGATGTGATCTTGCCTACAACTAGAGTGGTTCCTTCAACTGCGACTCCTTAACATCGCAGGAAATCAACGTATAAAGTCGACGTATCACTGCTGCGGGGGACTATGACATTACAACGAACACAACTATTCTTCTACACAACTAGAACAATTCTAGTTGTGAAAAAACTCACTTCTGCACAACCACGCGAGAGGACGACAAAGTTGTAAGAGAAAAAGCGGCAGAGCACCAGAAGAAATATCAAGAAACTCCATCTACAACAAGCACCCAGTGGCAATTGGTCCTTTGGTCGAAGACATTTTTGAAGTTGAAATCTGACGCTAGCCATATTCTACGAAATCTGACGCTAGCCATCGTCTACATCAACAAGCATCGAATTTCACGGTAGAAGCAAGCGAACCATCATGATCCCACCAACGGATGCGGCTTTGAACAAACTGTCGCTGGAGTATTCCTATGAGGACATATTGCAAGCCACAGGACACTTCTCCCCTAAATGCCAACTGGGTCAGGGAACCTACGGTTTCGTGTTCAAGGGGAATTTAAATTATGGCAAATATGATTGCTACAGAGTTGTATGAGTATGCAAGTAGACACTTATTATAGCTACTACGCAAGAGGTACCATGACATGACATGACAAGTATAGAAGACCGACCACCTCCCTTCCTGACAAGACTTTATTCGCAGAATATGCAAAAGAATCACACTTGCTGGGTGACAAGGTGGGTTCTCCCAATCAACTGCCTTATATATAAGTTTGATCTCTAATCCCCAGATGGCACCGAGGTCGCCATTAAAGTTTTGAACCAACCGAAAGAAAGCGGCTTTAAGGAAGAAGTGGAAGTGCTGAGTAAGTTCCGACATCCGAATTTGGTGATTTTAATGGGCTTCGCGAGAGGAATTGCAAAAGAACGCTGCCTGATATATGAGTTGCTGGAAACTGACGTGTGCTCACGGTATAATTTTACCTCTTTAGTTTTGATTGCTGGAAACGGACGTTTGCTCACGTCGGTATTTTTCAGAATGCTTTTTCGTGAGAAAGAACATACTTAAACCAAACCCAACTCTGACTCTGTAAAATATGCTTAGACTTTTGCTTTTGCAATCCTCTACTTGGAGGTTAAAAACCTACCACTTCGAATTCTACCACTCCACGACAGTCTCTCCGATACCACACGAGCGCCGTTATCCGTTGCACAGCGTCTGTCTATCCTCTTAGACTGCGCTCTTGGTCTCTCGCACCTGCACAATGCGCGTCCGCAGGTTTTTCATCGGGATATCAAGAGTCAAAACATCCTGTTAGACAGAAATGGCACGGCGAAAATGGCAGATTTCGGTTTGGCATTACTCGCCATGGCCGGGAACAAATCGACTGACGGAGGTATCAAGGTGGAGCATACGAGCGGGACTATAGGCTATGCAGATCCGCTGTACATCAACAGCTCTATTGTTAAGAGTACAAGAAAACTCCCATTTTCAGAGGCATCTTGTTCCCGTTTTTTAAAGGGAAAAGGAGATGACCCAAGATGTTGCTGAGGATGGATTTCCATTAGCTCTAATATTGTCACAGAGAAGTCCGAGGTCTACTCCTTTGGGATGGTTGTTTTGGAGATCCTGACTGCTCGCCCTCCAGCTTTGCAAATGCCCGATGGCCGCATAGAGTATCAATTTAACTCTGTTATGCGAACTCCCAGTCTTCTGCCGCAAATGCTGGATCGAGGCTCGTCACGCACTCCTTCGGTCGATTGGCCAGATTGGCTGGTGCCGGAAATCGGAAATTTCGCATTGTTATGGCCCGATGCGATTCGTTTTCAAGGGTCATTCATCTCTTCGGAGGTTTCCTCCGTAATACAGGATTCCGAAGAAATGGAGGGAACAAGGAATCAACTCAAAAATTCTATTGAGCTCTTCTAACCTGGAGCTGTGTCTCACAGTCGGAGTCAGCGAGACCGCGGTTTGTCGAAATAGTCCAGAAACTCCGACACTGGTCCGCGAGGGCCTCCTCAAAGACGTCAGGGGAAGCAGCTGCCGCAGCCGAGATCGAGAAGCAGCGTCAGGAGCAGCTTCGGCGTAGAGAAGCGGAACTGAAGCAGCAGGGAGAGCAGATGAAGCGAGAAAGATTATGGCTGCAGTAAACCGATCTCATGGAGGGATATCTTTTGGCTATAATAGTAGAAGAATTACTTCGTTCTTGGCAAAAATACAATGAAAGAGGAATACTTATAGCTGAATAAAGTACTAGATGTAGTTCTTTCACAAGACGGACCTGAGGAAAGCACTCCACTCCACTTCCTCCTCTTAGACAAAACTTACTAGTAGCTTGGTCCTCGTGTAAGTTTCTAATCAGAGAGCGCGCACGTATACTTACTACTACTACCTTGGTCGTCTAATCAGAGAGCGCGCACGTATACTTACTACTACTGCCTTGGTCGTGTTTCTAATCAGCGAGCGCGCACGTATACTTACTACTACTACCTTGGTCGTGTTTCTAATCAGAGAGCGCGCACGTATACTTACTACTACTACCTTGGTCGT